GGCAAAAGAAGACTTCTTTATCATTCGATATTTTTATGGATTGCGAAGCAGATGGGTGTCACATCTCAAATGTATTTGATGATATGGTTTCTTGTGATGCTGGCTGTGACAGATGGTTTCATAATAGATGTATAAGTGATCTGTCAGATTTACATTTTTCTAGGGATAGTTTTATTTGGAAGTGTGGTAAGTGTTCATAAAACAGCTATGAAAGACCGAAGTATTTTTGGTATTTTTTAATGTATTTGTAGATGTATCCTATTAAAAGTTAAAATGTGTAGTGAGTAAACCTAAAATTCCTTTTGAAAAAGAACACAATTATTTCAATCATAAAACCATTTTTTAAAGTTATTATAAAAATAACCATTTTTTTTCTAATGATAACCAATCATGAATTCTTATTTTGTGAACTATTATTAATCTTATATATATATATATATATAGTTTAAAAAAAAAAATGGGCTCTTATATAGAACTGCGTCCTCGTCGCAGAGCCTGGTAACATTCTGATAGAATGGCGAAGAGTTCTACTTGATAACGACATAGATTGACAGAGTGATGTCCCCTTAGCACGGGTACGGGAGTAAACAAAACACCCGCGATCCTCGCCCGCGATCACAACAAAGTCAGAATTTCATGTGAAATATGTCGTTTATTTCATGTAACATGTTTATTTTCTCTCAATATCTAATTATATATGAAAAACCGTGAGTTTCACGGTTGACTACGGCGTACAAGTTTTACCCCCTTGAAATAAACATTATCGTCAATTTCTAAATTATTGAATGATAAATTTACATTTTATTAACAGTCACATTTAGAAAATAATGTTTGAAATGATTGTATAATTTTTATAAAAAATATAAACGATCGCGTTAATAAGATATTAAAATATCTGTATATGCCTGGTACGGGGTTTTGAGAGCGGGAGCGGGGTACAAGATTTACCTACCACCCCTGGTTAGGATTCCTGTTACACTGTTGCATTTGAAGTTTCTCCTGTAACATTATGTTTTAAAAAGTCGAACCTTTCATCACCCCCCTCCCCCCCTTTAAAATAAAATAAAAAGGACACAATTTCGTCGCTTTTAGACCCCAACCTCCCCAAAAAAACTAAAGTATTACTGAGGAAGCAAGAATAGCAATTGATTAGTCGTGTAAATTATACAGTAATCATGCAAAACATACCCTTTACCCTTCTTCCCTTTCTTTCCCTTCTTGCCCTTCTTCGGCATGTTGATATTTCAGGATATTTCGGGAGGCTCATGAGATTCTCCTTGTAATCTGAAGGGCGGCCATCTTTGTTGACAGTGTTATGGCAACTGCCTTACCTCGTTATGTCGAGACAAATATTAGAATATAAACAGACAGTTTTTTACATGATGGGACCATTTCATAACTTTTATAAATTTAATACACTCTGTTTCCCGCTATTGACAAAAAAAATAGCAGGAAAAAAATAAATCTATCCTGTATCAGTCACGTCACTTCCGTACACAAAGACGAATCGTATGCGAATAACACGTGTACCGAGGTGACAGATGACATTTCCCGTTATATGCAGACGTTGTACTGACCCAAAGTTTACAACGGATCTTACATTGATAAGCGCAGCAGTGCAATGCAGAATTCGAATATGTAATGTAAGTTATATATGTAAAAGGCTGTGGAGCAAAGGTACATGTAGGCTAATTATAACTAGCCTCGCGCGTCTGTCAATACACCTTACATCAGTACATGACAACATGACATGTATACTATATTAAAGGTGTATTGACAGACGAGGCTAGTACCTGTGGGTGGAAGGGGTTTAGATAATTCGTCTCTTGATCGTACTAAAATAGTTTTTTGTGTGTTATTTCGGATGTATCGATACAAATGTAAAATTGTAATAGGAAAGAAACATGGGATTATGTTGAAAGAATGACGCCCTGAACATTATTTGATTTACTTTCACTTTAATCCACATTTCAGAAATAAAATTGTTACTCAAAACGGTAACTGTTACCCAAATGCAGGATTATTACACATATGCACCGTTGTGCCAAACCTGTTAAACAGCTCGACAAACTTAAGTTCTAATTAACTTTCTACGTGTGGTGAACTAATGAAACAAACAGATGTTTCGGTAACAAGTTTTTTTAGGAGTCCCGAAGACCTTTCAGGACATTATACGCAAAACATTTCGGGACTCAATCAAGTCATTCTGGGACATATAATAAACCCACTCATAAATTACATTTCACTTGTGTTTCATATAAAGCCCTGTAAATGTAGCTTCTGTCATAATTAACCCACTATGAATGACACCAGGATTTCTGTGATACACAAGTATGGCTTCAGTCAGTAACCTGTAATTAGTGTTACCAATAAGCGCTATACGTACAGATTGCTTGAGGTACGTACCTACTGACATTTATTTGATTGACAGTTGTTACCTAGCGAAACAAATCCCTTTATTAAATACAGAGAGGAACTTGTGAAAGTATCAATAGGCGGCAATTGCAAGTACTAATCACACTTGGTGCAAAAAAGTTCACAATAGTTTATATCAATTTCATTCGTTACTTACACCAGGTGAGGTTCCTTGTTTTATATTGTGATAACATGTTTTCACTCTTTTCCCCATTAAAGGAACATGCCCAACTTGATCGATACGAATGATTTAATATTCATGCTGACATTTAGCCTTCCATTACAGAAAATAATTGGAATATAAATAGGATACACTGTACAATAAAAGATGTATACCATATGTAACAATGTTTTGTGAAAACACAGTACATATAAAAGATGGTAACATTATTATTGTTATATATAAACACATTTTTTTTGGGGGGGATATTTTGGAAGTTTAATATTGGAAAGCATTATGTATACATATAAGCTACACAATATAATTAAAATGTGATATGTGTGCCCAGGACTTGGGACGTGGACCCTGCTTTCCTTAAAGCTGACAGTGTGCAAGTTAAAAAGCTTTCAATTGAGATTTTTTTAATTTTGTATTTTTCTGGGTTTGAGATCTTCCCCATATCTTTCCTACTATCGTTTCTAAGGAAGTGGTGACATTTGATTTTTTTCCGAGTCTTGGTGGTGTTTAAGCGGCATTGTTTCTTAAAGAGCTTTAGCTGGTGACCTCTAGTTGCTGGATAGGTCGATTCGGTAAATAATTTAGACTTCTCTGCATCGTCTACATACATCACTCAGAATTTTGTACACTTGAATCATATCAGCCCGTAGTCTTCTATATTCAAGTGTGGGCAGTCCTAGTTGTTTTAGTAGGTCTGGGTAAGGTAAGTCTTGCAATGTAATTAACCTTTTAGTTGCCTGTCGTTGTATGTTTTCCAGTGATTGTATGTCTTTCTTTAGGAGGGGTGACCATATTGTGGAGCAGTACTCAATATGAGGTCTGACAAGCGATTTGTATAATAATAGGAATGTTGACTGACTTAGAATGTAAATGTTCTAAAAATAATTCCTTACATCCTGTCTCCTTTGAAGACGGCTGCAGACACATGTTTCGCTAAATTTGAGCTGTTTGTCGAATGTCACTCCAAGGTCTCTCTCCTTGTCTGTTTTTAGCTCACCTGGCCCGAAGTGCCAAGTGAGCTTATGCCATGGTGTGGCGTCTGTCGTCTGTCCGGCGTCAACTTTTTACTTTAAACAACTTCTTCTGAATAACCAAGAGGCCCAGGCTGATGGTATTTGGTCAGTAGCATGCTGGGATGAAGGGCTACCATGTTTGTTTAAATGAAGGACCTTGACCTACTTTCAAGGTCACAGGGGTCAAATATGTTAAAATCTTCAAACAACTTTTCAATAACCAAAAGGTCCAGGGTACTGATATTGGGCCTGTAGCATGCTGTGATGAAGGGCTACCAAGTTTGTTCAAATGAATGACATGGACCAACTTTCAAGGTCACATGGTCAAATGTCTTAAAATCTTCAAACAACTTCTTCTCTATAACCGAAAAGGCCCAGGGTATTGATATTAGGCCTGTAGCATGCTGGGATGAAGGGCTACCAATTTAGTTCGATTGAATGACCTTCATCCGTTTGCAAGGTCATAGGGGTCAAATGTCTTAAAATCTTCAAACAACTTCTTCTCGATAACCAAAAGGCCCAGGGTACTGATATTGAGCCTGTAGCATGCTGGGATGAAGGACTATCAAGTTTGTTCAAATCAATGACCTTGACCCACTTTCAACCTAATGTCCTTGTTCGTTTGTTTGTTTGTTTGTTTGATTTTGTTTAACGTCCTATTAACAGCTAAGGTCATTTAAGGACGGCCTCCCTTGTGTGCAAGATACATGCGTGTAGTGTATGTGTGTGTATTTTGGGAGGCTGCGATATGTTCGTGTTTGTCTCCTTGTGATAGCGCGGAACTGATGCCGACTTTATAGTGCTACCTCACTGAAACATACTACCGAAGACACCCAGCAGGACGCCCCACCCGGTCACATTATACTGACAACGGGCGAACCAGTCGTCCCACTCCTAATTTGCTGAGCGTTAAGCAGGAGTAGAAACTACCATTGTTAAAGACTTTGGTATGTCTCGGCCAGGGGACAGAACCCAAAGCCTTCCTCACAGGGGCGAACACTCAACAAATAGCCAAAAGTGAGGCATTGTCAAGGGAGACATTAGGAAGAAGAAAGTTATTTAGAAAGGAGAGAAGAGGTAAGGTCCCAAATTTAGTCGCCTCTTACGATCATGCAATTGGGGCAGCAGGTACAATTCTTACGCCCTACCTGCAGGGTCGACATTCAAGGTCACAGGCACCATATGTTTAAATCTTTTAATAGGTTCTTATGAATCAAACACTGATATTCTGCCTGTACATGTAGCTGTATTTTAGTCCACTTTTAAGATTACAAGTGTTGAGATTAATACCAGGTGAACGATGCAGGCCCATTGGGCCTCTTGTTACAATAGTGGTTGTGACTCCTTCGTTTGTGAAGTTGTACTGGCTATTGCTGGATGTATTACCAATTTCTAAGTGTTTGCATTTCTCTAAATTTAATCTCATGAGCCACCTCTCAGTCCATTCACACACTTTTTTGATGTTAGTTTGTAGCTCTAACCTATCCTGTGGTGTAGATATACTTGAGTATATTGTTGTCTTGTTACCGAAACAACCTGACACCCTTGAAACGACCAGTGATTCAAAAATGAATTTTTGTGCTGCATGATTACAGTTTGTTTTGAAGCGCCTATATATTGTTAATTTTTGACAGTGGGCAAGCTTGGTTTTATAGAACACCTTCAGCAGCACTCCTCGCTTTCCCATTAATTGACACCATTCTCTGGGACTGCTAAATTATATTTAATTAGTAGGGTCCCAAATACATTGTATTATATTAAAGACAATTATATATAAGACCAATACATTTGTACATAGTTCAACAAGTTATTAAGAATCCCTGTACCACTGCCAAAACCTGTTACTATGTATTTGAATTTTTTTTTCCAGCATGACTATAGCTTTGATAAATCATTTCTGAAAAGAAAACCATACCTTGCATGAAATGAAAAAATAATAAAATTGAAATTAACAAATTTATATAAAATCAACAACAGTGTTCTGAGTAAAAAAAATCAGTGGAATCAGGTATAATAGCCCTGGATGTCAAATTGTTATGCTGTCACTCAAACCAACTGATCATGAGTTACCTGGTCAACGTAAATGTCCAGGTCCAAATACGCTACAGTTATCAAAACAAAATAAAGGGAGGTAACTGCATACGCAGTGGAATCTAGTGTTTTGCCAGCAGTGGGACAGGAAATGGATTACAAGATTAGACAATTAAGACATATGGGATATTAGGTTTTAGCATCGGATTTAAAGATTATTTTAAGTATTTTTTTCCCTTTACTATGTAGATTAGATCCTGCATAATTTACTTTGATTTATCATTAGTTTGTTTTTTTAACTTGTGTACATGTAAGTCTACAAGGCAAATGCACCAACGTTTACCCTGAGTAAAGGAGGAGCTGAATTAGACTATGGTTTTTAAATACAGGAAATAACAATTTCAGGTTTATTTATTCATTTTTAGCAGGAAATAATTCTACCTTGGTTCAAATTGTTCATGTTTGAGAGTATGAAAATAAAGACCCTTACAAAAAGAGGTACATCTAGGTTGAATCAACAGCCAAAAATATTTGCGCTTGATACAATGTATAATGTTATTGTGCTTTGTCATGTCACAACAACAAAAAACAATTAATGCAGTACAACTCAGGTGACAGTGAATGCTCATGTACCTCTTGTTCATATTAACTTAACTCTCTGTTAGGCTAGCTATTATACAGATCAACATCCTTAATTTATTGTCAGATAATTAATGCAAAATATTCCTGTTTACATATAATCATATATGATCACATGAAGTTAAACTGCCACTTCTGTTCATAGCAGTTTCAAATACCACATAAATGTATAAATGGTAATACAACTGCAAAAGTTAAGAACTTTAAATGAATTAATGCTGAAGTTAGATATACAGTGGTTTCAATCATAATCTCTTCTTTGAATTATCTAGTACCTGACTTTCTGTTGAAAACATGCATCTAATGGAATTTGTATTTAATATCTTTTGCAGATTACACCAGGGATTTCAGTAATCAAATCTGTAGAGGATCATACAAGTGATACTAAGAATGCCAAGATTTTTCACAAATTTATAGGAGATATGTTCCCTGGAGCTAAGGTTTTAACAATGTATGAGGTCAAAGGTCGCGTCCTTGGTCTTTGTATTGTGGTGGCAGTGGTTATCTTCATCATAATAATGAGTGGGTATAATCGTGTGGCCAAGGTTGATCCACAAATTAAACCTGGACTCGTGCAATGGTCAGCTGGACCTCAAAAGGACTTTCAGTTCAGTGGACAGGCTATAGCAAATGACATATCAGAGGATATTTATGCCATTGTATTTGATGCTGGAAGTACCGGATCAAGAATCCATATACTTCAATTTAAGTCTAAAGGAAAAGGTAAGTGTGCCTGCGCTTGTTCTTCGGCCGTGGTTAGATGTCGCCATTCGTTCGGCATCAACTTTTACTTTAAACAACTTTTGATGAATAACTAAGAGGCCTAGAGTGATGGCTTTTGGCCAGTGGCATGCTTGGATGAAGAACTACCAAGTTGTTCATATGAATGATCTTCGTCCATTTTCAAGGTCATAGTGGTCAAAAATGTTTAAAATTAAAACATCTCCTAAATAACAAAAATGGCTAGGATGATGAAATTTTAGCCAGTAGCATGCTGGGATGAAATCTTTGAAAATTTTGCTCAAAAGAACGCCCCATTCCCCTCTTGGGAGGGGGTTAAGTTTAATATATTTTATAAATGGGTTCTAGCTAGTTATGCACATTTTAGGACGCATCGGAAAATCAAGATGGTTGACAGGTGGGCAAAGTGAATTTTGAGAGCTATGGCAGTACCATATGTAGTTGTGCCCCCTGAAATAATTTTGCCTTTCAGAATTTTTTAAGACAGTTATGCCTTTTTACATAAGTTTGACAAAACTTTTTCCAGCTTTTCATTTGCTCATTTTTCAATAGATTTTTTTGGAATTTTTGTGAAGTAACAATACCATATGAACTTGTGCCCCCTGAAATAATTTTGCGCTTCAGACCCTTTTAAGATAGTTATGCCCCTTTACGTAAACAATTTGACAAAACTTTGTCAGGGTATGCATTTGCTTATTTTTCAATAGATTTCTTTTGAATTTATTATTAAAACTATTGTTTAGTGGCATGGCAGTACCATGCAGAGGTGCCAACTCTTCCTTCTTTGGCCTAATCCTTATGATTTTAACATAATAAATATGCCTTAAAATTTTGCCCATCACTGTATGATTTTGTCTTTTCTGCAGATTCAGGAAAGTTCTGCTAGTTTCCACATCATTTTATTATAATATCCTGATTGCAGTCTTCTCTGTGTTTAGATCAAGGATAGAAAATGAAGCGTATATGTGACTGTGAACACACATCCTCTTTCTTTAGCACACACATCCTCTTTCTTTAGCGAGAAAATGGAGGGAAAATGTGCCCTCTACATGTACAGTGCACAAGAGAGATAAGATTGATAGTGCAGGTTACCGCCTACCTCAAAAAAATCAAAAAGCAATGGGATCAAAAATTAAAACCAGAATACAGAGAATGACATTTCCATTGTCATTATACAATTTATGTGTATGCGGGGGTATACTTGTCACCCCCCTGTGTGACAACTGTAGTTAAAGTTTGTAAGTGCTGTTACCGTCCCCAGTTATGCAAACTTAGATTGCTGATAGGTGGCCAATTTGAATTTAGAGAGATCTTTCACAAAGAAAATACATGAAGGTGCCCAATGATCTCTTATAACTTATGCATATTGACTTTTGGAACTGATTGAAAAAACAGGATGGCCACCAGCTGGAGACAGCCATCTTGAATTTTGACTGTTCAATTTTTTTATCACTATTTTTTATGTATAATGTTCCCATTTATTTCTTTATCAAAATTAAAGTACCCCTGGCCCTAATGAAAATTTGTCCCTCATTGACAACATTTCTAATTATGTAGGAATTTTTAGCATTCAACATATAGTTATGCAATTTTTATACAATATTGGCAAATAAAGAATGACATTACGAGTTTGAGTTGATGTGCATGATTCCTGGACTGTGTAATAGTGCCTGTAAGCAAAATGACAAACAAAGAAAGTAAAAGATAATCTTTTGTAGATCTGATTAAGATCTTTTGATAGTGGGCACCAAGAACCTTCTAGGTTCTCTTGTTATTAATCTAACATTCATCAGATATTAGATACGGCATGTATGTCATGTGTATGTATAGTAATGCTATTGGTGCATTGTACATTCAGTATGTTCCAATTTATCAAACTGGCCACATACATCTGTAATGGTTAGTGTTCTGTACTAAAATGAATTCCAATTCAATGAACAGCAGACATAAGTATACGTATAATAAACAGAACTATATTATAAAGCCTTTTAGATATATAGGCATGTGTATGCTTCTTTAATATAGAAACTGAAAGACCAAGCGAAAAATAATAACAGCATATTCTTCCTTTTTCTTTTTAATGTTTAGGAAAGTCTTTAGTTCTTGTCAGTGAGAAATTTGATCACGTGAAGCCAGGGCTTTCTTCCTATGGACATGACCCAGTACAGGTATGTTAACTAATATAATCTTACTACAGACATGACCCAGTACAGGTATGTTAACTGATATAATTTTACTACAGACATAACCCAGTACAGGTATGTTAACTAATATAATTTTACTACAGACATGACCCAGTACAGGTATGTTAACTAATATAATTTTACTACAGACAAAATTCTGTAATAATTTTACTATTAGTACAGGTATGTTAACTAATATAATCTTACTACAGACATGACCCAATACAGGTATGTAATTAACTAATATAATCTTACTACAGAAATGACCCAGTGCAGGTATGTTAACTAATATAATCTTACTACAGACATGACCCAGTACAGGTATGTTAACTAATATAATCTTACTACAGACATAACCCAGTACAGGTATGTTAACTAATATAATCTTACTACAGACATGACCCATTACAGGTATGTAATTAACTAATATAATCTTACTACAGAAATGACCCAGTGCAGGTATGTTAACTAATATAATTTTACTACAGACGTGACCCAGTACAGGTATGTTAACTAATATAATCTTACTGTAGAGATGACCCATTACAGGTATGTTAACTAATATAATCTTACTATAGACATGACCCAGTACCAGTAAAATCTTACTACAGACATGACCCAGTACAGGTATGTTGACTAATATAATCTTACTACAGACATGACCCAGAACTGGTATGTTGACTAATATAATCTTACTACAGACATGACCCAGTACAAGTAAAATCTTACTACAGACATGACCTAGTACAGGTATGTTGACTAATATAATCTTACTACAGACATGACCCAGTACCAGTATGTTGACTAATATAATCTTACTACAGACATGACCCAGTACAAGTAAAATCTTACTACAGACATGACCCAGTACAGGTATATTAACTAATATAATCTTACTACAGACATAACTCAGTATCATTATGTTAACAAATATAATCTTACAACAGACATGACCCAGTACAGGTATGTTAACTAATATAATCTCACTACAGACATGACCTAGTACAGGTATGTTAACTAATATAATCTTACTACAGACATGACCCAGTACAGGTATGTTAACTAATATAATCTTACTACAAACGTAACACAGTACAGGTATGTTTACTAATATAATCTTACTACAGACATGAGACCCAGTACAGGTATGTTAACTAATATAATCTTACTACAGACCTGACCCAGTACAGGTATGTTAACTAGTATAACTTACTACAGACATGACCCAGTACAGGTATATATGTTAACTAATATAATCTTACTACAGACATGACCCAGTACAGGTATGTTAACTAATATAATCTTACTACAGACATAACCCAGTATCATTATGTTAACTAATATAATCTTACTACAGACATGACCCAGCACAGGTATGTTAACTAACATAATCTTACTACAGATATGACCTAGGACAGGTATATTAACTAATATTATCTTACTACAGACGTAACACAGTACAGGTATGTTAACTAATATAATCTTACTACAGACATGACCTAGTACAGGTATGTTAACTAATATAATCTTGCTACAGACATGACCAAGTACAGGTATGTTAACTAATATAATCTTACTACAGACATGACCTAGTACAGGTATGTTAACTAATATAATCTTACTACAGACATAACCCAGTACGGGTATGTTAACTAATATAATCTTACTACAAACATAACCCAGAATCATACTACAGACATGACCCAGTACAGGAATGTTAACTAATATAATCTTACTACAAACATAACCCAGTATCATTATGTTAACTAATATAATCTTACTACAGAAATGACCCAGTGCAGGTATGTTAACTAATATAATCTTACTACAGACATAACCCAGTACGGGTATGTTAACTAATATAATCTTACTACAAACATAACCCAGTATCATTATGTTAACTAATATAATCTTACGACAGACATGACCCAGTACAGGTATGTTAACTATTATAATCTTACTACAGACATGACCCAGTACAGGTATGTTAACTATTACAATCTTACTACAGACATGACCCAGTACAGGTATGTTAACTAATAATATCTTACTACAGACATGATCTAGTACAGGAATGTTAACTAATATAATCTTACTACAGACATGACCCAGTATCATTATGTTAACTAATATAATCTTACTACAGACATGACCCAGTACCGGTATGTTAACTAATATAATCTTGTTACAGACATGACCCAGTACCGGTAAAATCTTACTACAGACATGACCCAGTACAGGTATATTAACAAATAGAATCTTACTATAGACATGACCCAGTACAGGTATGTTAACTTATAGAATCTTACTACAGACATGACCCAGTACAGGTATGTGAACTAATATAATAATGTTAACTAATATAATCTTACTACAGACATGACCCAGTATAATCTTACTACAGACATGACCCAGTACAGGTATGTTAACTAATAATATCTTACTACAGACATGATCTAGTACAGGTATGTTAACTAATATAATCTTACTACAGACATGACCCAGTACCGGTATGTTAACTAATAGAATCTTACTACAGACATGACCCAGTACAGGTATGTTAACTAATATAATCTTACTACAGATATGACCCAGTACAGGTATATTAACTAATATAATCTTACTACAGACATAACCCAGTATCATTATGTTTACTAATATAATCTTACTACAGACATGACCCAATACAGGTATGTTAACTAATATAATCTTACTACAAACGTAACCCAGTATCATTATGTTAACTAATATAGTCTTACTACAGGCGTTGACTTAGTACAGGTATGTTAACTAATATAATCTTACTACAAACGTAACCCAGTACAGGTATTTTTACTAATATAATCTTACTACAGACATAACCCAGTACAGGTATGTTAACTAATATAATCTTACTACAGACATGACCCAGTATCATTATGTTAACTAATATAATCTTACTACAGACATGACCCAGTACAGGTATGTTAACTATTATAATCTTACTACAGACATGACCCAGTACAGGTATGTTAACTATTATAATCTTACTACAAACGTAACCCAGTATCATTATGTTAACTAATATAATCTTACTACAGACATGACCCAGTACAGGTATGTTAACTAATATAATCTTACTACAGACATGACCCAGTACAGGTATGTTAACTAATATAATCTTACTACAGACATGACCCAGTACAGGTATGTTAACTAATATAATCTTACTACAGACATAACCCAGTACAGGTATGTTAACTAATATAATCTTACTACAGACATAACCCAGTATCATTATGTTAACTAATATAATCTTACTACAGACATGACCCAGTACAGGTATGTTAACTAATATAATCTTACTACAGACATAACCCAGTACAGGTATGTTAACTAATATAATCTTACTACAGACATGACCCAGTATCATTATGTTAACTAATATAATCTTACTACAGACATGACCCAGTACAGGTATGTTAACTAATATAATCTTACTACATACATGACCCAGTACAGGTATGTTAACTAATATAATCTTACTACAGACATGACCCAGTACAGGTATGTTAACTAACATAATCTTACTACAGACATGACCTAGTACAGGTTTGTTAACTAATATTATCTTACTACATGTACAGACATGACCCAGTACAGGTATATTTACTAATAGAATCTTACTACAGACATGACCCAGTACAGGTATGTTAACCCTTAGGCTGCCACGCACCACAATAGTGGTTTCGAAAAGTCGGGCTGTCAGTGCTGCGCTCGACAATAGTGGCGCTCGGTCTGTAGGTTTTTGATCAGTAAACAGGAAGTGTGAAAGCGTACTGTTGCTATACCAAACCCGAAAGCGTATAGTAGAAGGCTTCTGATTGGTTGTTTTGTCATTACTTTCGATATCCCCGGCAATGTACCCTAGTAATAACCAAAGTGTGCGAGAGTATTTCAAATCGGAAAAAATGTCATAAAAATGGCGGACGTGTAGATTGAAGGGATGAATATGATGGTAAACATTTATTCTCCAGCGTCACCTACGATGATAATAGTAGAGGTATGTTAACTCTTTCCGTACCGCAACTCCGGTCCGGATTCCGTACCAGATGTACTTATTAGACTCGCCCCCGCGCATATAACAAAATGGCGGATTATTAATGTACTTTTTAGACTAGGTGTAACTGCCGCAAGAATTGAACAGGTAAATGTGAACAAATATTGTTATTGTTTCATGTTCTGGTTCATAAACAAACCCTTTTCATTTTCGCAGCATAATGACTAACTGGCAGCTGATTATGACTGATAAATCAACATTTGTCTGGCAATAAATGATACGATTCCTTGCATTTAATGCAGCGTTGTAGTGCAGGTTTCCAATGGGGATTGATTATGGTTACGAATGTGGAGTCGTTGAGTTTTTTTTTCTAAATACAAGTAGATTCCATCAAGACTTATATTAGAATATTCAAATTTACTTCCATAATTCTCAACAAATATCTGATGATGAATTTACGAGTGTTCGTATCGAATTAAGTTGCCGCCATCTTGTTTACATTTGAGGCACCAAACGCAAACATCTTGCGGCAAATGCGAAAACATTAAGTCACATAATAAAAAAGTGTACTCTGCACCAATAATATTATTTCTTCCAAACTGATGGGTTCTGATTTTAGCGACAATTTTTTTTTTTTTCGCGACAGTCTCATGCGTAACCAACTAAACATCAGGCAGGTTACATCAAAGTCTCTCTTGTCGTGTGTACACAACAACGGGGATGAGACGGCCCTTTATTTTGTCGTCTGTACACGACAACGGGGGCCAGGATGACATATTGTTGTCGTGTGTACACGACAACGGTACGCAAAAGAGTTAACTTACCTTGCTAAGCCATGACATGACCCAGTAGAGGTACATTAACTTACCTCGCAAAGCCATGACATGACGCAGTAGAGGTACATTAACTTACCTCGCAAAGCCATGACATGACCCAGTATATAGGTACATTACCTGACCTTGCTAAGCCATGACATGACCCGGCAGAGGTACATTAACTTACCTTGCTAAGCCATGACATGACCCAGTATATAGGTACATTACCTGACCTTGCTAAGCCATGACATGACCCAGCAGAGGTACATTAACTTACCTTGCTAAGCCATCACATGGCCCAGTATATAGGTACATTACCTTACCTTGCTAAGCCATGACATAACCCAGCAGAGGTATCTTAACTTACCTTGCTAAGCCATCACATGATCCAGTAGAGGTACATTACCTTTCCTTGTGAAGCCATCACATGACCCAGTAGAGGTATGTTAACTTACCTTGCTAAGCAATCACATGACCCAGTAGAGGTACATAACCTTACCTTGCTAAGCCATCACATGACCCAGCAGAGGTATGTTAATTTAGCTTGTTTAGCCATCACATGACCCAGCAGAGGAATGTTGACTTACCTTGCTAAGCCATGACATGACCCAGTAGAGGTACATTACCTTACCTTGTTAAGCCATCACATGACCCAGCAGAGGTACATAACCTTACCTTGCTAAGCCATCACATGACCCAGTAGAGGTATGCTAACTTACCTTGTTTAGCCATCACATGACCCAGCAGAGGTACATTACCTTACCTTGCTAAGCCATCACATAACCCAGTAGAGGTACATTATCTTACCTTGCTAAGCCATCACATTTACCCAGTAGAGGTACATTACCTTACATAGATAAGCCATCACATGACCCAGCAGAGGTACATTACCTAACCTTGTTTAGCCATCACATGACCCAGCAGAGGTACATTACCTTACCTTGTTAAGCCATCACATAACCCAGTAGAGGTACATTACCTTACCTTGCTAAACCATGACATGTCCCAGTAGATGCACATTAACTTACCTTAATTGCTAAGTCATCACATGACCCAGTAGAAGTACATTACCTTACCTTGTTTAGCCATCACATGACCCAGTAGTGTTACATTGCCTTTCCTTGCTAAGTCATCACATGACTCAGTAGAGGTACATTACCTTACCTTGTTTAGCCATCACATGACCCAGTAGTGGTACATTGCCTTACCTTGCTAAGCCATCACATGACCCAGCAGAGGTACATTACGTTACCTTGCTAAGCCATCACATGACCCAGTAGAGGTACATTACCTTACCTTGTTTAGCCATCACATGACCCAGTAGTGGTACATTGCCTTACCTTGCTAAGCCATCACATGACCCAGCAGAGGTACATTACCTTACCTTGTTAAGCCATGACATGACCCAGAAGAGGTACATTACCTTACCTTGTTAAGCCATGACATGACCAAGTAGAGGTATGTTAACTTATCTTGCTAAGCCATCACATGACCCAGTAGAGGTATGTTTTCTTAACTTGCTAACTCACCGTTAACTCACCGTTGTCGACGTCATACCATAAGTCTTCGACTACTACTGACGCTTCTACTAATTCTACTGGTATGGACTCCCGTCCTGCACCTCCTGCTCTGTAGCATGCGGGGCTGAATTTTCCTGGGTGATGTTTCCACGCACCGTTCAGTCTTGATTTGAAACAGTTTAATGATGGAGCGTTTATTATGATGGAGTCTAAATTGTTCCAAGGTTCGGTCACTCGGTTAGAGAAGGCATTTCCTCTTAGTTTGCATTGGTCCTAAATCTTTTCTTGAAAAGTTTTTTGTTGTGTCCTCTGGTGTTGTGTGCGTTCTGTTCGGCCGCAAAAGTTGTGAATTTATCCACGTTGGCATCTACAAGTCTATTGCATATTTATAAAGGTTTACCATGTCTGCTCTTTCACGTCTACTCTAAGGAAGGTATTCCTAAAACTCGCAGACGCTCCTCATAGTTTAGATGTTTGAAATGTGGCCACGACGTTGAACATTTTCTAGAGTCTTCCGGTCCTTTTTGTACATTGGAAACCAGACTGATGTGCAGTACTCTAAGTGAGGTCTTACTAGAGACTTGTATAGATTTGCAAACAAAGCCATCACATGACCCAGTAGAGGTATGTTAACTTACCTTGTTTAGCCATTACATGACCCAGCAGAGGTACATTACCTAACCTTGCTAAGCCATCACATGACCCAGTAGAGGTACATTACCTAACCTTGTTAAGCCATCACATGACCCAGCAGAGGTACATTACCTAACCTTGTTCAGCCATGACATGACCCAGTAGAGGTACATTGCCTTAACTTGCTAAGCCATCACATGACCCAGTAGAGGTATGTTAACTTACCTTGCTAAGCCATGGCCATGACATGACCCAGAAGAGGTACATAACCTTACCTTGCTAAGCCATTACATGACCTAGTAGAGGTATGTTAACGTACCTTGCTAAGCCATGACATGACCCAGTAGAGGTACATTACCTTACCTTGCTGAGCCATGACATGACCCAGTAGAAGTACATTACCTTACCTTGCTAAGCCATGACATAAGCCAGCAGAGGTACATAACCTTACCTTGCTAAGCCATCACATGACCCAGCAGAGGTACATTACCTTACCTTGTTAAGCCATGACATGACCCAGTAGAGGTACATAACCTTACCTTGCTAAGCCATGACATGACCTAGTAGAGATATGTTAACTTATCTTGCTAAGCCATCACATGACCAAGTAGAGATATGTTAACTTATCTTGCTAAGCCATCACATGACCCAGGAGAGGAATGTTTACTGAACTTGCTAACTCACCGTTAACTCACCGTTCTCGACGTCATACCATAAGTCTTCGACTACTACTGACGCTTCTACTACTTCTACTGGTATGGACTCCCGGTCCGCAGCTCCTGCTCTGTAGCGTGCGGGGCTGAATTTTCCTGGGTGATGTTTCCACGCACTGTTCAGTCTTGATTTGAAACAGTTTAATGATGAAGCGTTTATTACGATGGAGTCTAAATTGTTCCACGGTTCGGTCACTCGGTTGGAGAAGGCATTTCCTCTTAGTTTGGTCCTAAATCTTTTCTTGAAAAGTTTTTTTGTTGTGTCCTCTGGTGTTGTGTGCATTCTGTTCGGCCGCGAAAGTTGTGAATTTATCCACGTTGGCATCTACAAGTCCATTGCATATTTTATAAAGGTTTACCATGTCTGCTCTTTCACGTCTGTACTCTAAGGAAGGTATTCCTAAAACTCGCAGACGCTCCTCATAGTTTAGATGTTTGAGATGTGGCAACAACCTGGTGGCACGACATTGAACATTTTCTAGAGTCTTTCGGTCCTTTTTGTACATTGGAAACCAGACTGATGTGCAGTACTCTAAGTGAGGTCTTACTAGAGACTTGTATAGATTTGCGAACAAAGCAATCACATGACCCAGTAGAGGTATGTTAACTTACCTTGTTTAGCCATCACATGACCCAGTAGAGGTACATTACCTTACCTTGCTAAGCAATCACATGACCCATTAGAGGTACATTACCTTACCTTGCTAAGCCATCACATGACCCAGTAGAGGTATATTACCTTACCTTGCTTAGCTATCACATGACCCAGCAGAGGTACATTACCTTACCTTGCTAAGCCATCACATGACCCAATAGAGGAACACGTACATTACCTTACCTTGCTAAGCCATCACATGACCCAGTAGAGGTATGTTAACTGTATGATCTTCCCACAGACATGACCCATTGCAAGTACGGAGGGTATGTAAACTAAAAAGTGATAAACTCTTAAATAGTGCTGCTGCAATTTGCCATCAACAAACTTTATTATGGTTTAATATAATTGTCATCAACACTTATGCAGATACTTTTAGATACATTCTTAATTTCCTATTAAATGATTGGTTTTATTACAGGGAGCAGAAAGTCTGAGGAAAATGCTAAACTTAGCGCTGAGTGTGGTACCAAGTAGCCTGCAACATGACACACCAATCACACTCAAAGCTACGGCAGGACTCCGGTTACTACCTGAAAAAAATTCAACCGAAATATTAAAAAGTGTAAGGGCTTATAAATACAGTATGTACGCATTTCATTCCTGGTAGCATCACTATTACGTTTTGTCGTGCTATCCTTCTGTTCAACCCTTCTCCACTTCTTCCTTTGCATTGTTTACTACCCTTCTCATTACCCAGCATGCTCCATATATGCTAACAGAGAAAAATAACTATCCTCCTTACCTTATCTCTTCCTTATCAGTAGTTAATACAGTTTTATCTCCTTTTTGTTTCCTTGCCTTGAAATTTCTGAAAAATGATAATTTCTGCTCTCTTTTCACTCACTATTCAATCTTATTCTCCTCCTGTAGTCCTGCCTCATTCCTGTCAACCAATGTGTGGGCTTTAGATGCATTAATAGAATTTGGCTCAAACTCAAACCCAGCATAACAGCACAATATTCTATTTTATTCCACTTAGTTAAAAGAAACTACTCTATTAGTCATGTCACTACTCCCCCTCTGTCTAACCCATCCTATAGTACCTACTACCTTGGTTCTGTCACTACTCCCCCTCTGTCCAACCCATTCTATAGTACCTACTACCTTGGTTCTGTCACTACTCTCCCTCTGTCTAACCCATCCTATAGTACCTACTACTTTGGTTCTGTCATTACTTCCCCTCTGTCCAACCCATTCTATAGTACCTACTACCTTGGATCTGTCACTACTTCCCCTCTGTCCAACCCATTCTATAGTACCTACTACCTTGGTTCTGTCACTACTTCCCCTCTGTCCAACCCATTCTATAGTACCTACTACCTTGGTTCTGTCACTACTTCCCCTCTGTCCAACCCATCCTATAGTACTTACTACCTTGGTTCTGTCACTACTCCCCCTCTGTCCAACCCATCCTATAGTACCTAATACCTTAGTCCTGTCACTACTCCCCCTCTGTCTAACCTATCCTGTAATACCTACTACCTTGGTTCTGTCATTACTTCCCCTCTGTCCAACCCATTCTATAGTACCTACTACCTTAGTGCTGTCACTACTCACCCTCTGTGTAACCCATCCTGTAGTACCTACTGCCTTAGTCCTGTCACTACTCACCCTCTGTGTAACCCATCCTGTAGTACCTACTGCCTTAGTCCTGTCTCTACTCCCCCTCTGTCTAACCCATCCTGTAGTACCTACTGCCTTAGTCCTGTCACTACACACCCTCTGTGTAACACATCCTGTAGTACCTACTACCTTAGTCATGTCACTACTCTCAATCTGTCTAACCAATCCTGTAGTACCTACTGCTTAGTCCTGTCACTGCTCACCCTCTGTGTAACACATCCTATATTACCTACTACCTTTGTCATGTCTCTACTCCCAATCTGTCTTACCCATCCTGTAGTACCTACTACCTTAGTCATGTCTCTACTCCCCCTCTGTCTAACCCATCCTGTAGTACCTACTGCCTTAGTCCTGTCACTACTCACCCTCTGTGTAACACATCCTGTAGTACCTACTACCTTAGTCATGTCACTACTCTCCATCTGTCTAACCCATCCTGTAGTACCTACTGCCTTAGTCCTGTCACTACTCACCCTCTGTGTAACACATCCTGTAGTACCTACTACCTTAGTCATGTCACTACTCTCCATCTGTCTAACCCATCCTGTAGTACCTACTGCCTTAGTCCTGTCACTACTCACCCTCTGTGTAACACATCCTGTAGTACCTACTACCTTAGTCATGTCACTACTCTCCATCTGTCTAACCCATCCTGTAGTACCTACTGCCTTAGTCCTGTCACTACTCACCCTCTGTGTAACACATCCTGTAGTACCTACTACCTTAGTCATGTCACTACTCTCCATCTGTCTAACCCATCCTGTAGTACCTACTGCCTTAGTCCTGTCACTACTCACCCTCTGTGTAACACATCCTGTAGTACCTACTACCTTAGTCATGTCACTACTCTCCATCTGTCTAACCCATCCTGTAGTACCTACTGCCTTAGTCCTGTCACTGCTCACCCTCTGTGTAACACATCCTGTAGTACCTACTACCTTAGTCATGTCACTACTCTCCATCTGTCTAACCCATCCTGTAGTACCTACTACCTTAGTCCTGTCACTACTCACCCTCTGTCTAACCCATCCTGTAGTACCTACTGCCTTAGTCCTGTCACTACTCACCCTCTGTGTAACACATCCTGTAGTACCTACTACCTTAGTCATGTCACTACTCTCCATCTGTCTAACCCATCCTGTAGTACCTACTGCCTTAGTCCTGTCACTGCTCACCCTCTGTGTAACACATCCTATAGTACCTACTACCTTAGTCATGTCTCTACTCCCAATCTGTCTAACCCATCCTGTAGTACCTACTACCTTAGTCATGTCTCTACTCCCCCTCTGTCTAACCCATCCTGTAGTACCTACTGCCTTAGTCCTGTCACTACTCACCCTCTGTGTAACACATCCTGTAGTACCTACTACCTTAGTCATGTCACTACTCTCCATCTGTCTAACCCATCCTGTAGTACCTACTGCCTTAGTCCTGTCACTGCTCACCCTCTGTGTAACACATCCTGTAGTACCTACTACCTTAGTCATGTCACTACTCTCCATCTGTCTAACCCATCCTGTAGTACCTACTGCCTTAGTCCTGTCACTGCTCACCCTCTGTGTAACACATCCTGTAGTACCTACTACCTTAGTCATGTCACTACTCTCCATCTGTCTAACCCATCCTGTAGTACCTACTGCCTTAGTCCTGTCACTGCTCACCCTCTGTGTAACACATCCTGTAGTACCTACTACCTTAGTCATGTCACTACTCTCCATCTGTCTAACCCATCCTGTAGTACCTACTGCCTTAGTCCTGTCACTACTCACCCTCTGTGTAACACATCCTGTAGTACCTACTACCTTAGTCATGTCACTACTCTCCATCTGTCTAACCCATCCTGTAGTACCTACTACCTTAGTCCTGTCACTACTCACCCTCTGTCTAACCCATCCTGTAGTACCTACTGCCTTAGTCCTGTCACTACTCCCCCTCTGTCTAACCCATCCTGTAGTACCTACTGCCTTAGTCCTGTCACTACTCCCCCTCTGTGTAACACATCCTGTAGTACCTACTGCCTTAGTCATGTCACTACTCTCCATCTCTTTAACCCATCCTGTAGTACCTACTGCCTTAGTCCTGTCACAACTCTCCCTCTGTGTAACACATCCTGTAGTACCTACTTCCTTAGTCTTGTCACTACTCTCAATCTGTCTAACACATCCTATAGTACCTACTACATTAGTCATGTCACTACTTTCCATCTGTCTAACCCACCTGTTGTACCTACTGCCTTAGTCCTGTCACTACTCACCCTCTGTCTAACCCATCCTGTAGTACCTACTGCCTTAGTCCTCTTAGTCTTGTCACTACTCTCAATCTGTCTAACACATCCTATAGTACCTACTACCTTAGTCATGTACCTACTTGTAGTACCTACTGCCTTAGTCCTGTCACAACTCTCCCTCTGTGTAACACATCCTGTAGTAACTACTACCTTAGTCATGTCACTACTCTCCATCTCTTTAACCCATCCTGTAGTACCTACTGCCTTAGTCATGTCACTAGTCCCCCTCTGTTACCCATCCTGTAGTACCTACTACCTTAGTCCTGTCACTACTCCCCTTCTGTCTACTACCTTAGTCATGTCACTACTCTCAATCTGTCTAACACATCCTATAGTACCTACTACCTTAGTCATGTACCTACTACCTTAGTCATGTCTCTACTCTCAATTTGTCTAACCCATCCTGTAGTACCTACTGCATTAGTCCTGTCACTATTCACCCTCTGTGTAACAAATCCGTTAGTACCTCTAACCCATCCTGTAGTACCTACTGGCTTAATTCTGTCTCTACTCACCCTCTGTGTAACACATCCTGTAGTAACTACTACCTTAGTCATGTCACTACTCTCCATCTCTTTAACCCATCCTGTAGTACCTACTGCATTAGTCCTGTCACTATTGTCATGTCACTACTTTCCATCTGTCTAACCCACCTGTTGTACCTCCTGCCTTAGTCCTGTCACTACTCACCCGCTGTGTAACACATCCTATAGTATCTACTACCTTAGTCATGTCTCTACTCCCAATCTGTCTAACCAATCCTGTATTACCTACTGCCTTACTCCTGTCACTTCTCCCCCTTTGTCTAACCCATCCTCTATAGTACCTACTACCTTAGTCATGTCACTACTCTCCATCTCTTTAACCCATCCTGTAGTACCTACTGCATTAGTCCTGTCACTATTCACCCTCTGTATAACAAATCCGTTAGTACCTACTACCTTAGTGATATGTCTCTACTCTCCATCTTTCTAACCCATCCTGTAGTACCTACTGTCTTAATTCTGTCACTACTCACCCTCTGTGTAACACATTCTATAGTACCTACTACCTTAGTCATGTACCTACTACCTTAGTCATGTCACTACTCTCAATCAGTCTAACCCATCCTGTAGTACCTACTACCTTGGTCCTGTCTCTACTCCCCCTCTGTGTAACACAACCTGTAGTTACTACTACCTTAGTCCTGTCACTACTCCCCCTCTGTCTAACTCATCCTGTAGTACCTACTGGCTTAATTCTGTCTCTACTCACCCTCTGTGTAACACATCCTGTAGTACCTACTACCTTAGCCTGTAGTACCTACTGACTTAGTCCTGTCACTACTCCCCCTCTGTCTAATCCATCCTGTAGTACCTACTGCCTTAGTCATGTCACTAGTCCCCCTCTGTTACCCATCCTGTAGTACCTACTACCTAGGTCATGTCACTACTCCCCCTCTCTCTAACCCATCCTGTAGTACCTACTACCTCTGTCACAACTCTCCCTCTGTGTAACACATCCTGTAGTACCTACTACCTTAGCCTGTAGTACCTACTGACTTAGTCCTGTCACTACTCCCCCTCTGTCTAATCCATCCTGTAGTACCTACTGCCTTAGTCATGTCACTAGTCCCCCTCTGTTACCCATCCTGTAGTACCTACTACCTTGGTCCTGTCTCTACTCCCCCTCTGTGTAACACAACCTGTAGTTACTACTACCTTAGTCCTGTCACTACTCCCCCTCTGTCTAACCCATCCTATAGTACCTACTACCTTGGTCCTGTCACTACTCCCCCTCTGTGTAACCCATCCTATAATACCTACTACCTTGGTTCTGTCACTACTCCCCCTCATTTTGGTCTTGGTGTGGCCTCCTGGTGGCAAAGTGGCGGGGCCCAATAGGGGAAACATAGCAAATTCTTCAAAATACTTGTTCTTCTGTAGGAATGACAGGATTTTGTCCAAATTTGGTATGGAGTATCCTTGGGTGAAGGGGAACCCTTAGTCCTGTCACTACTCACCCTCTCTCTAACCCATCCTGTAGTACTACTGCCTTAGTCCTCTCTCTACTCCCCCTCTGTGTAACACATCCTGTAGTACCTCCTGCCTAGGTCATGTCTCTACTCCCAATCTGTCTAACCAATCCTGTATTACCTACTGCCTTACTCCTGTCACTACTCCCCCTTTGTCTAACCCATCCTGTAGTACCTACTGCCTTAGTCCTGTCACTACTCACCCTCTGTGTAAACACATCCTATAGTACCTACTACCTTAGTCATGTACCTACTACCTTCTCCCCCTCTGTGTAACACATCCTGTAGTACCTCCTGCCTAGACATCCTGCCTTAGTCCTGTCACTACTCCCCCTCTCTCTAACCCATCCTGTAGTCCCTACTGCCTTAGTCCTGTCACTACTCACCCTCTCTCTAACCCATCCTGTAGTACCTACTGCATTAGTCCTGTCACTATTCACCCTCTGTGTAACAAATCCGTTAGTACCTACTACCTTAGTGATATGTCTCTACTCTCCATCTGTCTAACCCATCCTGTAGTACCTACTACCTTAGTCCTGTCACTACTCCCCCTCTGTCTAACCCATCCTATAGTACCTACTACCTTGGTCCTGTAACTACTCCCCCTCTGTGTAACCCATCCTATAATACCTACTACCTTGGTTCTGTCACTACTCCCCCTCATTTTGGTCTTGGTGTGGCCTCCTGGTGGCAAAGTGGCGGGGCCCAATAGGGGAAACATAGCAAATTCTTCAAAATACTTGTTCTTCTGTAGGAATGACAGGATTTTGTCCAAATTTGGTATGGAGTATCCTTGGGTGAAGGGGAACCAATTTTGTATAAACGGTGTGTCTGATAGGGGGGGGGGGTCAGAGAGGCAGGGCCAAATAAGGGATATAGAGGAATAGCTTTTATATATCCTTTTTACTTCCGTTAGGATGAAGGTATTTTGACAAAATTTGACCTGAAGCATCTTATGGGGAAGGGAAATCAATTTTGTGTAAATGGTGTGTCTGACCCCCCTGGGACCTGAGAGGTGGGGCCCAATAGAGGTAATTTAGCAAATTCTTGAAAATTCTTCTTCTGTAGGAATAACAGGATTTTGTCCATATTTGGTCTAAAGCATCATTGGGTAAAGGCACCCTGATTTTGTATCAAAGGTGGGTCTGACCCCCCTCAGGGCAGAGGTGGGGGGGGGAACATAGCAAATTCTTCAAAATTCTTCTTTCCCTGTAGGAATGACAGGAGTTTGTCCAATTGCATATATATATAACCCCTGACTAAGGATTTTGTCCAATTGCATATAGATATAACCACAGACTAACAATGTAGTACATGTACACTACCAGCAACATCTAGCTATTCCAACTTCAATTTTACTAACATTTCCAGGTGAGCGATACAGGCTCTCTGTGCCTCTTGTTATAAATGATCCAAGTGACATCAAAACCTACCGACAAGTGTGAATCTGATTCGCGAGGGGATATGTTTGCATTACACTACTATAAATGCAAAAAATCAAATAAAAGATAAGGCTTTTAAACGCAAAGTTCGTTCCACGTAATGGATAGGTTTTGACTGAATTGCGAAATTTGATAAGAACGGGGGAAATCAGCACTTGCATGAGGACCACAGAGCATGCTGTGGGAAGCTATATGGTAATCAATAATTAAACCTATTCATTCCCTTGAATGTTGATATCATATAAAATGTTTAAATTTGAACATATGATTGGATATACATTTCAGTGAAGATTCTTCTGTGACTTTGTTACTGTTGTTACAGGTTCGACATCTGTTTAGAGAGTACCACTTCCTAGTGCCTGATGATGCAGTCATGATTATGGATGGGGTAGATGAAGGTATTTCATGCATGTACTTAGCAAAATGTCAGAATGCACATGTCTAATTACCAAACATGTATTTTCAGCTCATAATTTGATAAACCATCTGTCTTGTGTTCGGTCAACGGCTGATCAGCTTTCAAATGTCTTGCCTATAGGCAGCATTCATTCGTAACGTTTGATTAGCTGTTACCCAGCTATCAATGGTCACTGATCAGATAGTATTGATTTTGTGCATGCAAATATATCATGATTATTAGTTTGATGCAATACAATTGAAATGGTTTGTCTTCCCTTTTTATACGCCCGTCAAATTTGATGGGAGTATTATGGTATGGCGTTGTCCGTCCGTCCGTCCGTCCGTCGGGCGTAAACTTTTGTTTGCCCGGCAATCTCCTCCTACATTTTTCGACCGATCTTTTTAAAACTTGGTATACATTATAATCATGATATGAAGTTGTGTCTCCCTGAAAAGAATTTTGATTCAACGATTTTTGCAAAAGTTATTGCCCTTTGTTCATTTCAGTATTTGATTTTTTGTCCGGAGGTAATCTCCTACATTTTTTGACAGATTTCTTTGAAACTTTGTAGGCTAAATAATCATGATATGTTGTTGTGTTTCCTTGAAAAGAATTTTGATTCAACGATTTTTGCAAAAGTTATTGCCCTTTGTTCATTTCAGTATAAAAAAAGATTATCCGGAGATTTTCTCCTGCATTTTTATAGCATGTCAGCAACCACTCTTTGAATGATGCAGATCTTATTTCACTGTAAGAAAGTATATAACACTATATGACATTCGACGGGCGTATATTAATTGTTCCGCCCCGCGGTACTCTTGTTATGTCGTGGCACAGTGTCAATAACAAGGGAGACTAAATTTTGTCTAAACAGAGGATGAGGGCCCTTTCGGTGCCGAGGCCCCCTTATGGCAGAGGACTGGGCCCAATAGGAGAAATAGAGCTTAATATTTAAAATTCTTCTCCTTCCAAGTGATTGGAGGGATTTTAACCAAATTTGTTCTAGAGCATCCTTTGACAAGTGGAACTCAGGGTTATATAAACAGTGTATGTGGCTCGTCAGGGAGCAGAGGGGTGTTGCCTAATAGGGGGAATAGAAGCAAATCCTTCACTTTCCTAATAAATGTAGGGGTTTTATCCCTACCCTATAACCAAATGTAAAACATGCCACCAGGATTGGCCTGGAGGTCCAGACCACTCCCTGGAGACTACCTCCCCAAGGTCATAGGGGTTAAAGCTATTAAACACTCAAATAACTTACTATGAAGAACCAAAATCTTTGGGTTCATGATGAATGTCGCTAGTAACTTGCAGGCAATGGGTGTCACAAAATAAAGGAATCAAAGTGACCTTCACCTATAATCAAGGTCACAGGGGTCAAATCTCTTGAAACACTGACAGAACCTTTTCTGGAGACCTGGGAAGCCTGCAGTCATGATAAATGCCAACCAGTTTGCTTTTATTGAATATGCTACAAAGTTTCCGTAGTACTTCCGTACCATTACCTTAGCATGTCCGTAGCACTTGCGTAGCGTTTCCGTAGCACTTCCGTATCGTTTCCGTAGCACTTGCGTCTACATCTTTCCATTTAAAAAGCGTTTGTGAAACGTTCGGTCGAAAATTTTACGGAATATATATTTGTCGAAACGAATTGTAAAAAAAGAATCATTATAAACCGCATTACGTGAAAATTATTCTGATTATCATAATAGTCTGAAGAAAAAAAATAAAAAAAATGACAGCTTTCACATACATGGATGTATACGAAACAGCCCTCACCCATGGGCCTACTGTGTGTTCCCCACACCAGCAGCTAGGCCTTAGGGGTAATTTAAATAACAGGCTTACAGCTGGCCATGTGGTAATGACCTGTCCCTTGTTGAAGGTATAAATAACTTTAGTGGCCGTTATAAAGGTTGATAGGGCAACATGACCACCCGCTGACAGATACATTTCTTTCAATGAGTGAGTAAAAACATGGCGGCGAGAGTAGATTGCCTGTAAGACCGGCAGAGATGAAATGGCATGTATACCTCCGAGAAGACACTACTCAGCTTGCTCTATGCTTAAAATGAAAGTGAAGAACCAAGGGGTGTAAGTAGTATGAAAGTTTGGACTTTTGGAATGTGTTTATGGGCCGAAAACGGAATATTAACAGGGGAAGGTCTGACGGTGCGGGCCACTCACCCGTGACCACTATTAGTGACACGCATACAGGTACAACCAGCACGCGCAGCCCAAGTGAATGTCAGCCTGTAATAAGTGATGTTTTAGCAAGTGCACACAGAGAGTTATATTGTCACCACATAAACACTATGTCACAGCCTCAACCGCAAGTTCCATCGGAAATGTTTTACACTTCAGGGGTGCAAGGAACATGTAATATTGCCTCGTCCACACCCCCCTACCCGCCCCAGTCGTCACCTCGGCTTGACATGGTATCCACGATATTTACAACAGACTCGCCAAACTGGACGTCTTGGATCAAATTAATATTAAACTAAATACAATGGACGAAAAATTGTGTAGCATGGATAAATCTATCGTTGATATCAAACGCGAGCTGACTATCCATTCGGAACATATAGAGAATAGTGACTTTCACTACTCCTTGTTGGAGGAACGTCTCTCCAAAGTTGAGCAACAACGTGATGAAGCCCAGCAACAGACATACGAGGTCAAGGAGATGCTGCTCGAGGACCAGACACAATCCATGAAAATCAACTTGTTGTTTGGGGGCATTCCAGAGACGGAGACTGGCACGTAAACTCACCCTAAAAATACCGAAGCAGTACTTCATGATTTCATAAAGAATGAGCTTGGAATAGAGGATGATATACCGTTCCAACTGGTGCACCGACTCCGTCCACGACATGATGGCAGGCCACGCTCGATCGTGGCGGTGTTTAGTGATAGGAAAGATAAGGACAGAGTATTATCAGCGGCTCCCACTAAATTACACTCCAAACCGATGTATCACGTCAATGAACAGTTCCCATATGAAATCAATGAAAGACGTAAAATACTCTATCCTGTCATGAAAGAGGCGAAAAGAAAGAACCAAGCGGTAAGAATGAGAGCTGATAAACTCTTCATTAACGGCCAGCGCTACTTCCCACCACCACCCGGACCGACATCACACCAACCACTGCCTAGCCATGGGGTTCGTGTTCAGCAGCAGAATCCGAACAACCCAGTCAGACCCAATCCCCCCGGAACCAATGCAGGTGGATACCGCTAGGGGTGCGCAACAAGAGGTCCCCCCTATGAACATTCTCGTGAGAAAAAAACCCTTAAGTTTTCTGTACTTAACGTCTGTGGACTTAAGTCCAAATTGATATTACTTGAATTTATAGAAACCATTAAATCCAATGATATACTAGTTGTGCTCGAGAGTAAAACTGATAAATATGACGCACTGGAATTGCCCATTGGTTATACATATCATGCTAAACATCGAAAATCTTGTAAAAAGAAATCAGGCGGTATTGTTGTAATTTATAAAGAGAAAATGAAAAGTCATTTAAAATTTCATTGTACAGAAACTGAATATATCCAGTGGATGACAGTTTCAAAAAAACTACTGGATACAGATTCTGATGCATTATTTGGATGTGTATACTTGCCTCCAGAAAATTCAAAATACATTAATAATGATGCATTTAATGATATTGAAAATGAATTACTAGACTTGTCAAACGGACACAAATATGTTGCACTAATGGGTGATTTTAATGCGAGAACTAAAGTCCTACCAGACTATGTTATTCCTGATCAAACTTTTCTTGAATCACTGCATATTACTGTAAATGATGAATTATACGCATACATGTATGACTTTGAAAAATTACCTGTATATCAAATTCCTTTGGATCGATATAGTGAAGATAAATGTAACCCGAATAACTTCGGGTATCAACTTCTAGATCTATGTAAAAGAACTAATTTATACATTGCTAATGGAAGAGTTGGAAAAGATCGTCATATTGGTAAAAAAACATGTAACGATGTCAGTTTAGTAGATTATTTGATTGTCTCATCAGAATTATTTAATATTATTGAAGATTTTGAAGTGAAAGAATTTGATCCACTGCTCTCTGATGTACATTGTCGCTTAGAATTTAATTGCACTTGTAATGATAGCTACTCCCCTAAATATCCCCCTAAAGTGACCATGGAATGCAACGATTTTGTAAAATGGAAGCCAAACAAAAGGCAAGAATTTTCAAACCATATTGAAGGAAATGAAACTGTTAGACTGGCAGTTTTACTGCAAACGATAAATGATATATCAAACCAATCTGAGATGGATGATGTTGTACATGAAATAAGAAATATTTTCTCTGATACTTGTAAATCCGTTTTTGGTGTTAAAAAGAATGTATACACGCCTTGTAATAATGACAAAAACACTAAACAATGGTTTTCACATGAATGTGCCAAGAAAAGACGCGAGTTTAATATCGCTAAGCATAACTATAAAATGATAAAAAATAATTTGAATAGGAAAAGGTTGAAAAGGAAAGGTAAAGAATATCGTATTACTATGAAAAAATGTTATATAAACTTCCAAGATAAAATGGAGGGAGAAATAAGAAAAACCTCAAAAAGTGATCCTAAAAAGTTTTGGGATATCTTGAACAAAATAGATTGTACGAGGAAAAATATCAAAGTAGATAAAAAAATAGATGAAATTTTCAATTATTTTAAAAATCTTAATACTGATAACAGTGATGTGGAAGAATTTCAGTTACCTACATTAGATGAAAATATGTATGACCATGTTTTAAATGGTCCAATAACTGAGACAGAGATAAGGAAATCTGTTAAACATCTTAGTAATAATAAAGCATGTGGAAACGATGAGATCCTGAATGAACATATAAAATATTCTTTAGAGCCTTTTATAAATATATATGTCAAATTATTTAATACAATATTAGATACTGGTATAATACCTAAGTCATGGACTGTGGGGCTAATTAAACCAATATACAA